GGCACAAAGAGGTGTTAGAGTAGGGGGGGGGGGGGGGCACCGGTGGGGATATTGTAGGGGACGTAATCGGGCTACGTGAGGAAGCAGGGGGGGGGTCAAGGCAATATAGTGTGTGAATTCGAATCTTGTTGATGTCTTCTCCGTTCTCTGTGGAGGTGAGACGTGGTCTATGCCGTGCCGGTCAGCTGACAAGAAACAACCTTACGATACCTCCAGGCTCATATTCTTGGAAAACAAAACAGTGGTATATACGAAAGTCGGCTCAGCTGCCAGCAACAAAGAAAAACCAACAATAAAGCGTACAGTAGAGTAGCAATAACCTGGCAAATTGTATGAAGGCGTTGAGCATCTAAGCTCGAAGTAGGTGTTTCTTGCGAATCGAGGCGACCTTGTAGTCTCCACCTCCACCTCTGCGGCGGCGAGAAAACAAACAAAAAAGGGTCTTACGCGAAACTACCTCGGCGTCACTGAAGCTCATCTCGAAGTGACGCAGACCACATTGGCACGGGACGGATAGCACCAGCGCAACCCCGCCCCCTGCGACCCACCGTCCTACATTCTACCATCCGCAGTCACGCTCCGTCCTTTCCGCCTTCTTCTTTTTCCCGACACCGTTCTCTGTCTGTCTGTCTGTCTGTCTGTCTGTCTGTCTGTCTGTCTATCTGTCTGAGTCTGTCCATATGTCTGTTTCTGTCTGCCTGTATGTCTGTCTATCTATCTCTGTGTGTCTGGCAGTGTGTCTATGTCTATCTCTGTCTCCGCCTCTCTCTCTCTCTCTCTCTCTCTCTCTCTCTCTCTCTCTCTCTCTCTCTCTCTCTCTCTCTCTCTCTCTCTCTCTCTCTCTCTGTGTCTCTCTCTCTCTCTCTCTCTCTCTCTCTCTCTCTCTCTCTCTCTCTCTCTCTCTCTCTCTCTCTCTCTCTCTCTCTGCCTCTCCGGTACCTCCTGCTGCTCTTTCGTGAAGTGGATGAAAACCACGCTGCCGTAGTCGAACAGCACCACGTAGCTGTTGCCCGCCTCCTTGCCGACCCTCCTTCCCCCCATCCCAACGCCAAGCACTCTCAGCCCAGCACCCGTACCGCCCTCGCCCCCGCCGGGCTCCCACATGTCCCACGCTCTCGCCTGGTAAGCCGGACCGTCCATCGCGAAAGGTCGAGGGGGAGGAACAAAGGGGCGCCGTCCGAGCTCCTCCTCATCATCATCCCGGTCTGGGTGGCCCCCTCTTCCACCCGGTGACCTCCCAGCCCTGCCGGTAGCGGCGGCGGCGGCAGCGGCAGCGGCGGCGTTCAAAGACTTCTTGCTCTTGAGTCTGGAGAGGTCTCGAAACACCCCGTTGAACCCCTCGGAAGGGTCGCGGGGGCTGGGGTAGCCCCCCTCGAAGCAGTTGGGGTCCAGGGGGCCTATGACGACGCAGTGCTTCTCGAAGCTACGCGGGAAACCAGCGTACAGTCTCTGTTGTTCGCCGATTGGTTGGTGTTGTGGGTGTTGGTGTTGTCATGCCGTGCCAAGGGCGATAAGGAGCGAGAGGGCGGGGAGCGAGAGGGTGGGGAGCGAGGGAAGGTAGAGTCTTGGGCGGAGGCGGGGAGGGGGGCTTGATATATGGGGGCCACGAGAGGGAAGGGGGCGGTTTTCACGGTGTGAAATATCTCGGAGGCACCACAAGATCAATTTGGTGCTTTACGGGCTACTGAAGCTTGGGCCCGCGGCAAGCGTCAGCTTGCTTCGCAAATAATCGGTAACGACGACTGTAGTTCCATGGCTAAGACGACCGCCGGGAGCCTAGAGTTTCGTCTTGTTGGATTGATGGGCGATGTAGGCGGCGAGAAAGAAGACGATCAACGGCAAGACTCGACAGAACTCAGCAATCTATTTGCGGCTGTGCACACAACATGGGCAAGCCTACGCAAACAAGGACACTCTGTGCCTACACCTCTTACATGGCTTCGCTCCTCTCTGTGTAGGTGATTATGCTGCTCGCAGACATCTATTCACCAACAAACAGGGGACGGAGTGAGTGGAACTACTGTATCCGGACCACACACACACCAAAGGGCGCAGCGTGGCCAACCCCAGCCCCGGCCGTCACTGAGCGGGATGGAGTCTTGCATCGTTCGTTGGTGGTATGCATACAGAAGTGGTAAGCTTCAACAACAATACATTCAACTCGAAGCCACAGATGATGAACCATACCGTGCAGACGGCCTTGATGCCGATATTCGTCGCCATGTAGTAAGCCTTGCACCCCAGGTCCAGCGGCGTCGAGGCCGGCGCCGTTTCCGGCCGCAGCCCCGCTGCTTCCGGCGGTGTTGGCGAAGCGCAGCTACTACTGCCGTCGTCGTTACCGATTTCGATACCCAAAGAGGAGACCGAGAGGCTACTATCTCTGCCTCCACCATGCTCCTCCTCCTCCTCCCCATCTGCTTGGGCTAGCTCTGAAGAGGTCACCGGCGCGCCAGCTCTTCCCCCCCTGGAGAACTGTCGTCCCTGTCGCCATCTTCTGACGGGAGAGAGAGCTGCGGCTGATGCAGTCTCGGGTCCGCGTCCCGAGCCGTGCTGCGGGCGGATGCTGCTACTGCTGCGGGTGCCATCAGACACCGAGGTTATTGTGCTGCTCTGGCGAGACGGCCAAGCGCTTCCCCAGCAGTCGTGAGCCTTACGGGTGGACAGGGGGCGGACGCCGACAGCGGGAAGCCTCCGGCTGATCGCACGAGGAAACATCCGCAGCAAGCAACACGGCTCGATCGTACACGGCGGCGCTGTTTGGAGTGTTTGTGGTAGGGATCTATACAGACTTGGTGTGCCACAAGGTGGTCGTGATGGTAAAACGCATGACACGTTCGAGACCAAGAGTGCAGTCCAGCTCCCTCGCTCAAGCAGTGCTCGACGATAGTGCGTTGTGCACCCACAGGTTGCGGTTGCTGGCGCTTGATGGTGATTTCGAACCACCACACATGGTTCGAGCGGGAGGGGCAGTTAACGGTATTTTCGATTTTGCGTTGCCCCCTGTACAGCGGTCCCTTGCAAGGGGCGGCCAGCACCAGAGCCACACCAGCACACCGCAAGCAGCCGCGGCAGCAATAACCACACAGCCTAATGTTGAAGGACCAGTACGGGTTGACGTATCATTTGTATACGCCGTATCAAAAACCACGGTTCCCAGGCATCAAAACACAGCACACAACAGACGGGACAAAACAACAGCAGCAGCAGCATCCCATGATCCAAAACTAACTGAACTGCTGTTGCACCTATAGACAGACTATCATCGTCTACACTTCGAGAGACGCAACAAGAGAGGGGGGGAAAGGGAAACGAGAGAGAGAGAGATCGAGGGAGGGAAACCGAGGGGAGGGAGGGAAAGAGAAGAAACTCCTGCTGTACGTATACACAGCGGCCACCGAGGCAACCAACCAGCAAACACCCGAAAACAATAATATCTGCTCGTGTTTTTTCATTTTCGTCTGATCGTCGAGCTTTTCCGAGCGGTCTTGGCTTGTTGAGCACGCAGAGCGCGAGCGCTCCGAGGCCTTCTCGTGCCGGTCGCAGCAAAACCTTCCGAACCAGAGTCACCCCCAAGACTACCAACGCTACCATTGCTACTGCCCCCCCCGACACTGCCGCCGCCGCTGTTCCGCGAGGACTCCCGATATCGAGTCTGGGAAGGGTCGTGAGCCGTTGTCGTCTCGAGCATCTTTTCCCTCGCCGCGAGCATGTTGTCGATGGTCTCCCGACTGTCGATCCCGACCTCTCCCACGGAAGCACCGACGCTGTGAAGGGTAAAGTTGACCTTGAGCAGGTCTTCCAGTGCGAAGCCCACGTCCTGGTCAAGCCTGATAGACAGAAACGCCCGTTTTAGTATGGTCCAAAGTTTTATATCTTTGTAAATTGCAGCCACTCACAGGTCCTTCGTAGTCCAATGGTTAGGATATGCCGCTCTCACCGGCAAGACCCGGGTTCAATTCCCGGCGAGGGAGTTCCTTTGCCTTTTCTTTTTTTCGTATTTTTTCCTGTTTTTCAGGCTCAAGCCAACCAACTTTTTTTGGGTTGCCTCATTGGTCAGCGTCGTTCACGACGGTAACGTTGCATGACACGTTGCACCACACGTCATCTTTGTTACTATGTTTTACTGTTTTTTTTAATTGAGGCCACCGAAAATATTTATATGCAAGAAACTTTGTTTTCTTCAAAGAGGAGAGGTAAAAGATGGGATGGATATAAATGTTTGGTTTGCGAAATGATACATCCTCATTTCCTGCTCCCACATTGTCTGCCCCCCCTCTGAAAGACTCCCACACCCAACCGGTGACAAAAGTAATTTTGGCATCACATAAAACCAATTTAAACTTCTGGGGCGCTCTTTTTATTTTGTTCTTTTTTGTTTTTGAAGGACAACTTAACACCTTTATGACCCTCGTTTCTTCCTCACAGGCGAAGGTGAAAATAGCATGTTTTACACCGCCTATATTTAGTGCAAACGTTATTCTCATGGGGTGTGGAACAACACAAAAATGTTATTCGCAAGTATGTTCTGTACATGATGTACTGCTGTTTCTCTTGCTCCTTACCTGTTGTTCTCGAGGTTGATTTCCACCAAGCTGTTATTCCGGTGCAACGCCTCGGCTATCGCCACACCTCCCGATGGTCCCAGTGTGTTCCCTTCCATGTTCAGCCTCGTCAGAGTCTTGTTCTTCACAAGGGCGGCCGCAAACTTGCCCCCCACGTCCGCTAACATGCCGGCCTCGCCAAGCTTGTTATTCCCCACGTCCAGCCATGTGAGGTGCGAATTAAGCGCCAACCCCGCGGCGAGGTCCAGGCCGCCTCGCCACCCCACGCGGTTGTTGTTGAGGTTGAGGTGGTCCATCTGGCGGTCCCGCCGGAGCTTGCGCCCAAAGGTGGAGGCCGCCTGGTCGTCCAGAAGGTTGTACTCGAGGCTGACGTTGGCCAGGCACCGATTCCTGCGGATGGACGCCGTTAGTGTCGACCCACACTCCGCGCTGAGGCCGTTCGTGCCCAGGTCCAGGAAGCGCAGGGTCTGATTGAGGGACAGCGCGGAGTTTATGGACGTCGTACCATACTCTTCCAGCTTGTCAGCCTCGGTGCCAAAGAGGGCCCCCGCACCGTTGTCGCTGATGTCCAGGTGCAGCAGCGACGCGTTCCGCCGCAGCGCCCAGAACACCTGATGGGCGGGCGGACGGAAGTGCAACGGTAGTTTGGCAATATGGGCGGGCGTGGAGGTGGGGGGTGGGAGTGCTGGTGATCAAAGCAAGCGCCCGAATCGTTCCACTCCTACCTTAAGAAGTTTTTTCGAAACAATTGGCCCAATAACTGACCTGTGATGTTCGAAACAAAGAACCCAAAGCTTGAACGTTGCAGGTTTTCCTGGCGGCAATAATGGGCGTTTTCGGAACATTCTCTTGCAGGTAAACCTCTGTCTTGAGAATTATCCAGTTGTTCCGCAAGTTCTCAAGGTGTTGTGTGATCGTTAATCGCACACCCGAAAAAACGGGTGATGCACTCTTAGCTCAAGATGCAACGGAAAGCACCTCGTTGACCCCGTGGCGGCCAAGATTGTTGTGCTCGACGTTGAGGTGTTGCAGGACGATGGTGTGACATCGGAGCATCCGACCGATGGCCAGCCCGGCGGCCTTGCCCCGCAACTCAGTGTAAGACAGGTCGAGGTGTTGTGTGCACTCGTTCACGAGGGCACCGAGGATGGCTACCCCAGCTTCGTTTCCCAAAGGATTGCGGGATATGTCCAGCCGGCGCATGCGACAAGGGCGCACCTGGCATATGTCCGAAGTGACCGATGTCGGTGTAATTCCGAAAGATGCGATTGATTGTTGGTATTTCTCGAAAAAAGCGATAGTAGTCGTGGGCTTGCAGTGACGGGGGGGGGGTCACCGTCCTTGTAAACACGCTTGAGACAGGTGTGTTCGACTCGTTCCGCCTCCAACACGTCACGCCACCATTCGGGCGCAACCAAAGCACATACCACACACAAACATGCAACCCGCAGCGGGAGAACAGAAACAGACATCTTCACACCACTCACTGTTTTCCCGTTGCGATAGAGCACCCGGAGCGACCTCGCCAACGCCATCCCGGCGACCGGCCCTAGGCCGTTGTCCGACATGTCCAACTCCTCCACGGTCCTGTTGCCGCCCAGTGCCCTGCATACGAGCGCCCCGCCGACCGGCCCCAGCCCGCACCGCGCCAGGCCTAAGAAACGCACCCCACACCCAGCCCTACCCCCCCGCTCGTCGTTCTGAAGAGCGCTCGCCAGCTCCCCAGCGGCGTTCTTGCTCAGGGAGTTGTCCGAGAGGTCGAGCCGCTCCAGTCCATGGGCGCCAGTGGTGAGGGCGCGAGTTACGGCTACCGCCCCGACGCCAGCGAGCGCGGAACGGCTGAGGTCGAGAGAGACGAGGCCGGCGCCCGAGGCTTGGGCAATGAGGCGACCGAGGTCGAGCGCCGCGGAGTCATTGACGGCTTCCCCCGTGAGCGTCAAGTGGGCGAGGGACTGGTGATCTGCCAGACCCTCGGCAATTCGCTGCATCTCTAAGGTTGGGAGACGGTTGCCAGATAAATTTATTGACGTCAGCGTCTTGTTGATGCGAAGCCCGTGTCCCAGCGCAAGACCCAGGTCGCTCGGATCTCCTCCCTCTGCCGTAGCTATTCCCAAGACGTTGTCGGAGAGGTCCAGGTCCTTGAGGGAGGAATTTTTCGCGAGGGATTGGCCCAGGTTCTTGGCAACGTTGGGGCCCATCCCGTTACCGGCTATCGCCAGGGTTTCCAGGGTCCGGTTTACGAGGAGCGACGTCGCGAATGCGATGCCCGCGTGGGTGCCGAGCTCGTTGCGCGAGAGATCGAGATGGCGGAGGGTCCTGTTCCGCTTCAGGGTTGCGGAGAACAACGTGGCGGCCTTCTTGCCGACATGGTTGTCGGAAACATCGAGCCTGGTGAGAGTGCTGCGCTTGGCGGCGTTGAGACGGAGCGCCAGCGCCTTGCCCCCTCCGGGCAGCAGGAGGTTGCCGGACAGGACGAGCCACGTCAGGGATCGGTGCCGTGCCACTCCGCTCGCGAAGGCATGGCCGGTATCGGCCCCGAACAAGTTTCCCTTTACCTTCAGAACGGTGAGCGTCCGGTTGTAGCGGAGCGCGTCGCCAAGAGAGGGGCCGGCGCTCGGAACGTGCATAATCTCCCCCGTGGGCAACCAGAACTTTCTCTCCCCCATCTGGTTGTCGGAGAGGTCCAGGTAGGTCAAGGAGCGGTTCTTCGTCACCATACCCGCGAGGCCGCTTGCGGCCTCCGGCCCGATCTTGTTGCCCGAAATGTCCAGGCGCTTCAGGACCTGGTTCTTTCGGGCGGCGAAGAAAATCTCCTTGGCGGCCCCGGAGTCGAGGGCGTTTGCGCTGAGGTTCAGGTCCGTGATCGTCTTGTTGAGCAGCAGCATATCCGCTATCCTGTAGCCCGACTTGCGTCGCATCCGGTTCCCGCTGAGGTCCACCCTCACCACGTTGATCCGCACCTGTGTCGTGTACGGGCTCGGCCAGGTAAAAGTTGTAGCCTGAACCGACAGAGCCCTGCAAATGGAGAGCAGGCTTTTGTACCCTCTGTCGCCCAGGCCGCACCCCGCCAGGTCGACGTCGCTCCTGCTCGCGCACGTTGCTTCTCCCAAGCAGTCCCTCGTGAACCGCGCCCGTTTTCTCCAGCGGTGGACGTGAGCGTACCCCTTGGGCGGCTTGACGTTGAAGGCCTCCGCCAGGTTCTGCGCTAGCTCCGACAGGTCGGGTTCCCCGTGCTCCGTCAGCAGGTCGTACTGGTGGGCGTTCCACCGCAGCTCGGCGTTCTGTAGCTCGTTCGAGAGGAACATTTCCGCCAGCCGTCCCACCTTCCAGGCCAGTGCTGCTACCTCCTCCTCGTCTGCTTCCTTCTGTATCTCCTCCGTTGCCACCCCTCCTCCCAACATGCCCCCCATATCCCCTAACGCACTACCGAGCCCCCCGCCGACATTACCCCCGAGTAGTCCCAACCCTCCTAGCAAGGAGCCCTGACCCGCCTGGCTGGCGCTGTCGGGAAGGTCCAGGCCCCAGTCGTTGAGACGCGCGGTCAGCGCTTCCATTCTCAGGAGAACCCTCGCCGTCTCCAAAATCCCCAGCAAGAGCGGGCTCTCCTTGTGAAGCGTCTCGGCATGGAGCAGAACGGGGTATAGGTGCACGAGCCACCTGGTGGGCTCCACTTCAGCGTTGATGACCGAGTCGTGCAGGAGACTCAGACCAGTCGACGTCCGTGCCCTGCTGATGTCCAGGCCGCGCAGCGAGGCCCATCTCACCACGAAGATCTTCTCGCGTCGGGACAGCACGTTCGGCGGGGTCGGGGTGGGCCAGGCGAGGAACGCGGACCAACGCTGCTGTTCCAACAGGTCGTCCCACTGCATCAGCAGCCGCACGCCCGTGTGGGAGCACTCCAGCCCCAGGGACTTCTGCCTCACCTGACGAAAAAGAAGGTCGTTGACCCTCTCGTCCGCCGCTGCAAGCGTCTTCCCTACAAACACCATAGCCCCCCGCACGACTTCCCCCAAGACTAACGCGGCAGCTATTCCGGCCAGCCCCACCGCCAGCAAGAAAGTATCCACGACGTACTTCGGGACGGCCCCTCCAGCGCCCGCGGCGCCGATACACAGCACGAGAATCAGGGCCACCCTCAGACCAGTGTCTAGCAGGGCCTCACGGTAGTACAGGAACGGCTCGGCTCGGAAGGTCCACGTCTGGAACACGGCCAAGACAAGAGCTCCGACGAGCAGCTGCGTGGAGGCCGGGCCCAGGTGCTGGGACACCACGACAGCCGTCACGAAGGCGCCCCGTTCCAGGCCCTCGACGACCTTCCATTCGGATCTTTGCCAGGTGTAGCTCTCGGAGAGGTAGAGCAAACCCGAGGTGTCCACTACCGACTCCCAGCAGGTGATCTCCAGGCTGTGGTCCGACTCGAAGTCCGACAGGGCGAGGATGAACTCCTGGGAGGCGTTGGCGAACGCCTCTCGCTCCGCCTGCAGCGCCTGCCTCATCCCCACCGAGGCCTTCCTTCGCCGGCGCCAAAACTCTTCCAGACGGCTGTGGCTCTTTTCCGACTTCTCCGTCAACGCCTGCTGCTGCTGCCGCCGCTGCAGCTCGTTCTTCTTTCTAGTCTCCCCACCACCGGCCTTGTATGGTCGTTTCGTTTCCTCTGGCCCACTCCTAGCGGTTGTAGTCTCTGCGACCCCTGCCACCCCTTCCAACAAGGCGGTGGCCCCCGTCGTACCTTGTGAGAGCACCAATGTCTTCTGGGTGCTATGCTTGTCACCCGGACCGTACAGATCCACGTCCCTGAGAGTGGTGCCAGGTGCCCCAATCGGCGCTGGTGGATCCTTGTTGTCTTCCTCAATGCGAACACTTTCTCCCAACCCTGCTTGAACGGTAGCGGTGGTGGCACCAAGCTCTTCGTCGGAAATAGAGAGCTTTTCTCGACCAGTATCTGCTAGAGAGCGCTTTTGCTTCTTTCGTCGTCGCGGCCGAATGCCCGGCAGCCGTCGGACGAGGGGAACCCGGCGCAAGGAAACCACCACCACACGCAACGCGCGCCGGCGGAGCCGATTTGCCGCATTCCGGGCGAACGCAATCTCTCTCCTTCGCCTGGCGAGCCACACGACATCCTTGGGGAACGGCGTCAGGGCTTCGAGAGTGCTCTGGTGAACTTCCCGCGCCTGCAAAAAGCTCCTGATGACGTCAACGTTGGCATTGAACCCTTCGAACAGAAACCGTACCAGGTACCTGACCATGTTGGGCAGGCCGCACGCGAAGAAAAGGACGAGGCAGGCCGAGAGCGTGTGCACCGCCACCCCGCTCGTGCTGGTGCACTCCAAGACGATCATCTCGGCCGTCCCCTCGAGCTGGGGCGGGAATCCCATGAAGTTGCACCAGACGTGGTGGTTGTACTCCCTTCGCGACTCGTGCGCCCACTTGTCGTTCCAATCGAACTCCGGCACGAGCGCTCGCACGATGCTGGCGGTGAGAGGCACGTACGCTAGGTGGAGGAAGAACAGGCAGGTGCGGCCCTTGGTCTTCACCACATGCTTCTGCGACGTTGGATCGGTGCATGCATGCATTGAGAAAAAGTGAAATCAGTGTATTTAGGAGGAAAGAGCTGTGTCCAGCCAGTGAGCATCAGCGTGGTGGACGGTTGATTCGAGGCGCGGGGCGGTCTGGTGGACCCCAACGTAGACGACTTGCCACGGGTAGAGCTCAATATGTTTGGTTCGAGTTCCTCAATACGACTAGGATGGGACGTTCGGGGGTACCGGTAGCGTTTCCAAGGTGTCCTGTGTCGGTAGGTTTAACAACAAACGCAACGCACATCCCCCTTCGCCCATCCACCTCAAACCACTCACCATTGCAATCATGAAGGAGTACTCCGCATCGTGTTTCGTCGCCATTCGGACGTTGACGTGGACCAAGAGCGACAGAAGAACTACGAGTATCCAGGAGACCGTTAGGAGCGTACCCCCGACTACGATCACCGCCTTCACCACGTCCGGCGGGACAAACACTTCCCCAAAGTACGTCACACCCGCGAACGCCACGTAGCAGAGACCCAGATTGAGAAGGTATCTCGGCAATGTCCGCCTGAACCAGTGCGTCAAGAAGCTACGCCTCCAAGCGGCCTTCGGCTTGGAGCTCGTATAGTCCGGCATCTGCAGCACGAAGAAGAACACGAACACGGCCACCGACGCGGCGCAGACTTCGACGCCATATCCGATGACATCACGAAAGAACCACAGGTCGAGCTGCGCGTCCCCGAACGTCAGAGAAAATTCGCGCCCAACACGTCGGAGGAGGACGAGCGCAGGCCACCGGAGGTACTGATTCGTGAGCCAGACCCAACTCCACATCCGCACGAAGAGGGGCGGCCAGGGTGCCCCGTAAACGTCGAGGGCCAGCGCCAGGAGTTGCAGGGTTATGACAATGCGTTCCGCTTTGAACCAGAGAGAACCCCCTCCGCTTCTCTCGTCGCTATTATCGTCATCCTCGACCTCGTCCTCTTCGTATTCTTCGTACTCGTCGTTCTCGCCCTCGTCGTTACCGTCGTCGCGTTTTTTGTCGGTCTTGTCGTTTGGTTCTTCTTCAGAACAACGGCTTGTTCTCGGAGTTGCACCTGCATCCTGATGTCGGTTGTCGCTATCGTCGGTACTCTTGTTTTCATCAGCCGGGATAGCGACGCCCCCTTTGCCGTATCCTTCGTTTTCTGCCATTGGTCGTACTTGTATTTCGTTGCCGTCGTCGTCTGATACTGATTGATTCCTGCTCGTCTGAAGCTGCGGCTGCGGCTGCGCGGGTGTATCTCGCACCGCTTGCACGTCGGTTGTCGTTGTTTCTTCCGGCCTAATGAGAGTACTGCGACGCCGATCGCCGCCTCCGAGACTATCACCGGTTCCTGTAGACCTTTTCTCCCGACGTTCTCTGTGCCAACCATCAATATGAGTAGTAGCCCGACTACGATGATGATGAGCATGTTGCTCATGCAGATGACCAGTCTCTTGTCCCTCGCGGGCGTTGTTCTCGCTTTCCTCGGGGCGTTCAGTGCTAAGCTCGCTGGTAACCAAGAGCAGCCCTTCATCTTCACCGTTACTGACATCCCCTTTTGCTTGACCTGAGCCTTGTGGCAGCTCTACGTGGATCTTGGGCCGCCTCACGCGCTTGTACTTTTTCACCCGCATGTTTTTCCAGCTGTGTGTGTGTGTGGTACACATAGACGACGAATAGAGTAATTTACACACAAAAACGTATACGTTGCGGTCGGATAGGTTGTCATGTGTGCCGATACTACTGAATTGTAGGGAGGTGCTTTGTCCACCTACATTACAGCTGCACGTTTGTACGATATGTACAACACATATCATCTGGACACCGCCGTGGCATCGCGGGAACCATTCCGGTTATTGCTTGTCGGAAAGTTGGCGATCCATAGATACATGCATGCGAAGGCACGACGCGACATCTGTCTCTGAGCTCACCACGCACAGTATTGTAATTGAAATCAGGCCTGCTTGGATGGTCGATTCCCTGACACACCTTCGAGCCTACCGCGATGATGGGTGGGTGGTTCCACAGGAGGCCTCACGTCTGTCAGTCAGCAAGAGTCATGTGGAGAGGCCGACGACTTGAAGGGTTCTGAGCACAGCAGAACACCGAACCGTGATAAAGAATACACGGGCATCATGTTGACTTACACACAGCCGCAAAGTTGGGTCGGACGTTCGTAACGGCGCGGTAAGTGCATGTTCTGCGATGGATATGTATTCTAGGATACCAAACCAGGCAGGGATTTTCTTTCGACCTTTCGGTCGTCGTTTTGGTCGGACCGTTCCCAAAAAGGGCACTGCGAATCTACTGATCTGATTTTCTGGACTGAAACGGCTATAATTTTACAGAGCCCTTCATGTCTCACAAACAACAGACACAAACAATCTTTTTTTTTTGAATTTTTGGAATCTCCCATCCTGAATCATCCTGGTGCATCACCTAAGCTAAGCCGACCTATCCACCAGCCTACACATCGCTGCCACATACATGTTCCCACCCCCGCCCAAGAAGAGACGACCGATCAAGTGAGTGTATGCAAGCAGAAAAGATTGACCACCAGCGGCTGCGGGGGGGTCGGTGGTCGTGCGAGATACGCTCCTCTCTCTCTCCTTCCCCCTGTGTGCTGCTCCGCGCGTGTGCGTCCATGGATGAGATGATGAAGAAATCACGATCATTTCAAAACAGCCAACAACACCTCACACACGCTCGCTGTTGTTGTACTCGTTTTTGTTGCATGATCTCCCGAAGGGAACAGCAGCAGCAGCAGCAGCAGCAACAGCAGGCCGTGCACACAGCAGAGACGGTCCGCCCTCATCATCACTGAGAGAGAAAGACCGCAAGGCGACGCCAGCAGCAGCAGCAGCAGCAGCAGCAGCAGCAGCAGCAGCAGCAGCATGGCGTCTTCGTCGTCGTCGCATCAGAACGCGGCCAAGAAGATCAAGGCCTTGCTCCGGCGAACGCATTTCCCGGTCGCGCGGTTGAGGCAGCTCCCTCTGGTCACAGCAGCACCGCCAAGCGGCGGGCTCGCTCCCGCAGCGCCCGCCGCCGCGGGCGGCGGCGGGGGCAACCCCTGGGACGGGATCGTGAGCGGCGATCCGAGAGCGGCCCTGGTGGTGCTGCACTGGACGCTGCTCGACATGTCCCCGCTCTTCGCGACGCTGCTGCTCGACAGGGATTACGCGGGCCTCACGAGCTTGACGGATTTCAAGTTCGTCGCGACCAGCCTGAGGATGCTGCGGGATGAGTTCAACTGCAGGCCACAGCTCACGGTAAGAGCGGCTGAGAGAGGGATGGCGGACGCCCATTGTTTTTGTGTCAAGCTTATTGCTATTTACGGGAGCAGAGAGCATCGTCGGTGGAACGAGCGTGGTGGTGCGCAGCAAGGCGCGGGCAATAAATATCGCCAGGTTTGGGTAGTACAGTATTGCTTTTCCAGCACAGTTTTTGAAAATCATCTCTGTTTGAAAGAGCCAACCACGCGGCATCAGTCAGTACGTTGTCTTTTTGCTCATCTCAAAAACGTCCCCATGTTTTTCCCCCATGCCAAACCACAAAACACACGCGTGGTGCGTGCATTCCCAGTCCCACCCTGTAGACACGGCCGTGAGATGGTTAGCTGCTCGGGGTGTGCTCTATTTGCAAGCAGAGACGGCGTCCAAATTGCCAGCAAGCAGCGATCGATGTGAATGAAAAAAGTATCTTTGCTGTGTGTTATGCGATGAACTGTTCGGCTGACAGACGTTGTATTGTTAGATACGGATACACAGCCGCCGCCGCACCCTCTTTGCATGCACGCTGCTGCAGCGTGGGTACAGGGGCGCGATTTTTGGTGTGCTGTAGCCAAATGCAACGGGAGGGATCCCTGTGGGTGGATGGATGTTCGAAGCAGTTTGTGTCCCTCTTCTCGGCGGATCTCGCGTCTGTTCTGTCCCACTGGCGTGCATTATTTACTTCTTCTGTGAGTAGGCAAGCACACAAATCTACAAAGCAGCTTTCTTTGTAGGCCGGACGCGGACTGATCCTGTCCTTTGATGTCTGGGAGTCAAGGATCGTTCGTGAACTAGAGATGCCAGCCTTCGGCGCACAGAAGACAACTTCACCAAGGTTGCTTCGACGACCAACTTCACTTTAGAATTTAAGGTCGTGGCGCCGGAAACAATTTTTCAGCCTTTTTTTTTTTTCTTGATGAAAAGTCGGATTAGTTTTTTCGGCGCTGTACCGCATACAACGAGTACCGCTGTACCGCACATCTGCAGGGATGGAAAAGATTTCCCGCGTGGTGGGTGTTTGTGTGCTTCGTTAGCTTTCAAATCCAGATATGCATATTGTAGCTTTCCCCCGATGCCTCAGCTGATCTACTTGTATTACTCGATGGCTGTCTCATGTTCGATTGCATTGTATTCTGCCCTCTCCCACCCCCCTTCGTAAGCCGATCAACCTCCGGCCAACGTTTCTACAGTACATACTTCGAGCAGCAGTTTCCAAAAATGTGCAGGCCGTTGGCCGTTGATGCAGTGTGGTTTGTACTTGAGTAAGAAGCAGCGTCGTCAAACCGGGCGGCAGAGAGCAGATAGTCTGTTCTGCGCTTGGCAACAAATGTGCTCGCAGGGTACAGCAGTATTTGGTGCATCCTTTTAGTACATATGTCCCTATGTGCCCCCGCTGAATATTCTCGTTCAAGACAATCTCGCTTTTGAGGAGGTGAATCCCCGCGTGACGTCATTTGTCGGTTTTGCATGTGAAGTATGAAACGAACGGGGTTGCGGTCCCGCCAATGTACCATGCATGCAGTCATAACTAACCGCAGCACGCGGGGACGACACCATTAACTTTGCACCACGATGCGGTTGGCACCCTCTTTTCCTGTTACAAAAAACCGCACACCACTTGCTGCGGAAGGAAGCGGCCTGGGGGTTCGTCTTTCCAATCATTGTTGCGGTCGCTCACATATCTATACTTTCAACTGCTCTGCGGCGGCCTGCCTCCCTCCATGCCTTAATTAACTCCAATGGCCAAAAGAGCATGTATTTGGTGTGTGACTGGTCGTGTGTGTGTCCAGCGCGAGACCCGCGAAAGAGATGGGTGCTGTTGGTGAACGTGGCCAGATACACAGCCGGCGGTATGAAGCCCGTCCGGGTGAAAGTTAAACGTTTCCGTCGTTCCGGCCTTTTCCGGCCTTGACGAGCAGCCGTGACTGCTCGGAAGATATTCCCGCCCCCGTCTCGAGCCGAAAATCTCAGTCCCTTCCCGTCCGTGTAACCGAAACATTCATTCGGCTCTCTCTACGCCGTCGGCGTGGGGGGAGCAGCTATCATCATGTTTTGCTCAACGGTCTGCATATGTAGATACAACAATTGTAGCAGGTGTCTTCGTCTCGACATTCCGTCTTGAGATGCTGCACCTGCTATCGTTTTGGTTTGAAAATACATAACTATTCTAGATTTTCTCCGCACCGCGGTGGCGCATGGTCGGGGCGCCCCGGTTGAGGTGGGTTGGTTGCAGTCGTGGCTGGGTGCGAGGAATATGTTCGCTCACACGGCCTGTCCTAACGCTTCTCGTGCCGTAGTACATGCCCGCCTCGGGTACCGGCTACTGTTGTAACTTGACGTAACATGCACGCACGACAGCAGTCTTGTTAGCGCAGACAGCGGGTGTCCTTGTACAACCTCCTGCCGTCGACTTTCTCTTGTTTTGCATGGACCGTTACACACGCCCCCCTTACCCCCGCCCCTTTCCTTTCGTGGCTTGTTCCTCCTCCCCCCAATGAACCGAACCACCCCGAAAACGATGCGTTCGCGTTCCACAGGCGGAGCAGTTCCTGACGAGCGGGTTTGCTGAGGTGAAGATGCGTCTGCTCGCCGACATCGTCGAGCTCGTCATGAGAACCCACCATTCTCTCGCGTCGCAACACAAGAACGAGGACGGCGGCGGTGCCAGCAGTAGCAGCAGCAGCAGCAACAACACCCACAACCACAGCAACGGCAACGCATCAGCGGCTGTGCCTTCCGCCCTGAACGGCTGGGGCGCGAAAAGCGACCACAGTAACGGGGGCCGCAGCAGCGGGGCGTCCTCCCCTTGGAACACCCCGACCCCCCCTCCCCCCCAGCAGCATCCCTACGCGCAGCAGCAGCAGCTGCTGCAGCAGCACCACCACCAGTACTCCCGGCCCGGTTCGGCGGAGGGCCGTTCCAGCGCGGGCGGCTTCTCGATCGCGCCCCCGCCGCAGCCCCGCTCGCCGCCGCTCCTGTGCGGCGCGCCCGTCGGGATGGTGAACGGCAACAACAACAACGGCGTCGGGGCCGGAGTCATGAGGCACCACAGCCACCACCAACACCACCACCAGTCGGCGCTGAGCCCCTCCCCTTCCACCATGAGCGACGAACAGAACGCTCCCCCCCCTCCGCTTCTGGTGGCCGGCGGTAGCGGCAGCGGCAGCGGCGGCCTCGGCGGCATGCCTTCCTCGCACAGGAGGGGCGGGGGAGTCCCCCTTCGCGCGCCGGTGTCAGTCCGGGCTCCGGCCACGCTCCAACACGATTGGCATGCTGGCGGCGGCGACAGCGGCAATGCCCGGGGGCTCTACGGGGGCGGAGGCGGGGGCGGCGGCTCGAGCGTGTGGGTGCAGCAGCAGGGCCACGGAAGAAGCGGCGGCGGCGGCGGCGACTTCGTCGGCGGCGTCTCCCATGGCGGCATGTCTGGAGTAGCTCCACTGCACGAGCAAGGGCGGTCACCGCTCGGGCCGCGCTCCGCCCAAGGCCCGCCACACGAGCACCGCCACCAGCATCGTCATCAGCGGGAGCACCAGCACCAGCAGCACGTGCCGGCCATAGACCTGGGAGACGCGGCGCCGATGGGCATGCTCCCTCCCCCCGCACGAGTCGGCTCCTCCCCCGGTGGCCCCGCCGGAGACGGCGGCGGCGGGTCCGGCGGGTCGGACTGGCTCGCGGTTCAGCAGGCGTTCGGGTCGCCGTCGAGCGCCCTGCACATGCCCCCGGCGGTCGTCGTGCCGACGAGCCCCCCCGACGCCCCTGCTTCCGGGAGGGGGATGGTGGTGTCGGACACCCCCATGCCCAAGCTTCCGCCGCGTCCGTCGTCGGCCTCATCCATCAGCGAGGCTGCCGCTGTCAGCGCCGTGGTCGACGCCGGAGCCGCCAAAGCGGACAGTGGTAGCAGCAGCAGCAGCAGGGTGATGTCCCCGGTTGGTAGCGGTCGCGATGAGGAAGGGAGAACCGACAAGCAGCAGCAGCAGCAGCAGCGGCAGCGGCAGCGGCAGCAGCAGCAGGAGCGCGACGCCGGTGACACGGGCGGTGGCAGGGTGCAGCAACAGCAGCAGCAGCAGAGCCGCAACAAAAGCGCCGACGGTGGCACGAGCGCCGCCGTCGGCAAGGGCAAAGGTAGCGGCGAGGATGACGACGGTTCGCTGGCGGAGGAGCTCGGGAAGATGCAGCAGCAGATCGAGGCGATGCTGGAGAGGCACTCGAAGACCCTGGAGGGGAGGATGGGCGAGACGGAGCAGATGATATCCGCCCGCCTGGCCATGCTCGAGACCAAGGTCCACGGGCTGGAGATAGGCTCGCCTCTTCATACGTAATGCCTTCCTCCTCCTGGATGCGAACCAAAGGGGGTGATCGAGAGTTAATCGACTCCTGCCTTTCCGTAGGCAACGTTGCTGGATAATATGCCTCTGGCGGGGAGTGGTGGTGGGGTTCCGTGGCCTGTCCGGTGGGTGAAGCAGGAGAGTGCGGCGTAATGTCGTATTGGCGTAAGCTAATGGGAAAACTCACAGGGAGGGTGAGGGGGGGGGGTGTACTCATAGTCGTGCATGCCGTAGTCGTTAGACCATTGACCTCGCATCGAGGGGGGGGGGGATAGTTGGGTCCGAAGGGAGAAAACCGGGGGCATATATGGTCGAGCAGCGAGGCCACGAGTTGATGGGAAGGCCCCGTGTTGTTTCTGTATCGAAGGCTTTGGTTCAGTCAGACGTGTACAGAAGGAGTGCAGCGAGATCTGCTAATCAAGGGGGGAGGGGGACGGAGTGCGGAAGGGCCACAGGACAGTTGGCGTTGTTGTGGCTGGGTCGGTCGGTCGGTCGGTCGGTGTATAGATGGAAAAGCACCAACTTCGAAAGAGGTAATTTATGATTGTATGCATAGCGCGGGATGCGATGCATCTGCCTTTGTTTCGTCCCAAGGCCCTCGTGATTGTTGTTTCCTCGCTGTTGAGTAGTGCGCGAAGGCTACCTGCGCCCGTGTACAATGAAAGAACACGTGTCCGCTGCCGGGCGGGCGTTAGTTGATTCGTTTTCGTTGGCTTTGTCTTTCTTTCTCTCTTGTTCTCTCCTGTTACATTTTATCATGCGCGTGTTAATCTCTTGTCCGTTCTGTTGGTTGCTTTGATTGTGTTTGTTTTTTGTCCTGTTGCAGCCCCCTAGCCTAGCGGGGGGGCGGCCGTCGAAAATCGTTGCACCTCGACGTGTGTTTTTCATCTATTTGTTGCCCTTTTATCACGTATTGAACACTTGTAATTTGTACCGGTGGAATCGTGGGTGGACTGGTTGCAGCAGTGCGTGGGCAGAGAGCAAACGACATCCCCCTTGCTTGGATAGAGAACGGTTGGCGAAGGCAGATATGAAGCACGATAATAAGTACCAGGTACTAATCATGGTACAAGCCGTAGCGGTAGCGGTAGCGGTGGTGGTGGTGGTGGTGGTGGTGTGTCCCTCCTGCGACAGGCAGCGAGAAGTTGATTGTTCACGTAGAGTTTTTTTTGTCTGCCGGCTTGATCACATAGATTTCGGGGAGAATGGTAAGCCGGGGTGGGGGGGGGAGTCTGATAAAGGGATCGCACCACGGAACCGAACCAACCGTGGTGCGGTTCGATGTGTGGGACCGGTTCACGCACGACCCCTTTTGTGGGAATTTCTGGAGATACATGCATTGGCAGCACATGATTCTCCCGAGAGATGGCCCGGCAGCGAGATGGTGATTTACAGGCGGTTTGAGTTGGAACTTGCGGTTATCCTTGCAGAAGAAACTTGGCGCTCCCGTATAGTGGGGGCGTGGTCCATTCATGTTTTCAAGGGCGCTTCGTTACTTTCTGCGCTGCTTCTCTCTCGCGGCGCGAGGGAAGGCTCTCTTGCCTTTTGTCGACCGGCCCCCCTAATGCCCTCGGCAAAAGCCGCCAGGGGGGGTTGCGGGTGCGCAAGAGGGCGCTCGTCGGAATTGGCTGCGATGATGATTTCGGGCACACGGGTGGTGTCGGGGGGGCGATCATGCTCGGTCGGGCGTGTTTTGTTTGCCCTTACTTCACCCCTGTTTGTCCTGTTGGCGAAGTATCGACGAGTACGCGGACTGGTTGACTGGCTTCCCCCCCTTCTAATGTTAGTTAGTTGGGTCTTTTTTTTTATGTCGAAAGCGTTTTTCGTCGTTGTCCGTGTTCCTGGTTTGACACACTGACAGCAATGACAAATAGGAGGGGTTTTATCCCTGATGTGTTTTCGTGTGACCGTTTTTGAACGTTGCCGACGGCGGGGAAATTGCATTGGGGGGGGGGGGGGGGGGGCCGGTTGGGTTTTAAAACCTTTGGGGTTTTTATGGAGGCCCCCGTTTACCTTTGGGGGGGGGACCCCCGGGGTTGCGGGACCGGCCTTTTTTTTGTTGAAGCGG